TCCAAAAGGTACAGTAGATATTGTAAAAGTGAAAGGGAAGGAAAGTGCTCTAAATGTTCTAACGGTATGTAGTGTATAAGACAGATAACCATATAACTAAACTTCTGTTAGATCATTGAACAGAGGAGTTTTCCCTGTCAATATTTGAGTGTCTAGCCATTTTTTATGCTTTGATTTTGTAACTTTAACAACTATGACAATATGTAATGTATCAACTAGCAATCTTATGATGTTAATTTTGTTTGAAATCTGTATTCTACTTATTTCTCGTTTTTTTCCTATTTTTAAAATTTTCCTTTCTTTCTTTCTTTAAATTAAAAAAAGACAAACAGAAAACTTAGAGACTTATCTATAGGAAAGAAGCCAGTCTTGAAAGTCTACATGCCATATGACCCCAACTAGACGACGTTATGAAAAATGTAAAACTAAGGGGATAATAAAATCAGTAGTTTCTAAAAGATAAGGGGAATAAATAGGAAGAACACTGAGGATTTGAGAGACAACACAATTCCTCTTTGTGGCTCTGTCGTAGATACATACCACTGCACATCTGTTAAAACTCATAGATTATATAACACCAAGAGTGAACCCTAAGGTCAAACACGGACTTTCAGTGACAATGCTGTGTCAGTGTTGGTTTACTGACTGGCAAATGCACAACTCTGGTGGGGATGTTGATAGTGAGGAGATTATGAGTGGGGGGCATATAGAAACTGTACTGTGTTCCCATTTTACCGTGAACCTACAACTGCTCTAAAAATAATCTATTGTTAAAAGTACATAATATGAAGAAAGAGTGGGACTATCTGATGGAAACTGGGGCGGATGGCAGGAGGGGGTTGGGAAAAGGTACATCCTTGTCTCTGCTTCACATCCCAAGTATTTCCTAAGAACCTGGGACTGTAGGACTGGAGGGACACCAGGACAAAAAGAGGACAAAAGCTAAGTGCCTTGGCCAGGTGGACAGGGCCCTTGGGACCAGGCCTTGCCTCCTTTTCCACCTGCTTCCTTGCCGCCCCCAGTGCCTTGCATGTGTACCTCGCTCTATTTCATGACTGCATCCCCCACCTCTCCTCATGTGGGATCTCCTTCTGGGCATTGTTTGTATATTTCCTCTGCTTTAACCCATTGCTCTCCTTCTGTACTGGACTCTCCTTCAAGCCTCAGTTAAGTGGAACTTCATGGACGCTCCAGGGAATCTTCCCCATGCTTGATTTATCCCGTACTCTCCTTTGTAGCATCAGTCACATACACTGTCAGTTTGTTTTTGCATGCAGAACTGCATGCACTATGAGCACAGCCCATGCCATGTTCATCTTAGAATTCTTTGCGAACCATCTCAAAGCCTGTCTTCGTAAGTGTTTGCTTAAGAATGAATGAGTGACTGAATTCTCTTCTTATAAGACACATTCTACTAGGAGTGGATGACACATGGTCTTTGTTTATCAAAAGAAAGCTTGGCAGGGCAAGAAAGACCTAGACTGTCTTCTCTAGTAGAGGAGGAAGTCAGAATTGTTAGCTTTAACTCTGATCTTCAAAGTACTTCAATAAAAGACATTTGTAGTCTTTTGATGCCTGGACATTTTAAAATGTCATTTCCAAAGCCTCAGTGGATCACAGGCCATGACTGAACTGATATTCCAACTCTGTAGCCGTTAAGTCCAGCTCTACTTGGATCTGACAGCTGGGGTCTCAGAGCCTGGAAAATTATCTGAAGCCGGTACATTGTTCCTTCCTGTGAATATTTTGTCTCCTCCGGCTTACAGAGGTAGCTCAGAAAAGCGCTCAAAGGAGCCTTCATTCAAGCTGTCAAGCCTCGTTACCTGCTCTGAATGAAGCCAGTCTGTCCCATGAGCTGCCTATTTCCTCCTATTTTTACCCAGTGCCTTATCACAAGTGTTCAGGCTCTCAGGGAAACCCAAAGCTCAAATCAGGATTCGATGCTTTGTTTATTTAAAACTTCAGTAATATGCTTATAGCTCACATATCTTGAGTTTTAAAACAAGCAAGGGAATAAACTGCTGTCTGCCTTCTGGAGATTCATTTACATATGGCATTTCTGGGCATCTGAGTTTCAAAGGTTTTTGGTTGAGTTTTCTATGCATTTATTGACCATGCACTTATGACTGTTTTCTACTGTGGTTAACTGACTTGGAACAAAATCAGTCAATGATTTTTAAGAATATTTTTTAGTTTACATTTTCTTAATTTGTATATTTTAAAATTTACATAATTGGGTTCTGATGTCTCCAATGTCACCCACATTAATTTGGGACATTTTTTAGTAATCTTAATATCTTCGAAGATGATCCTTCACTGCATCCTCACCTGTTAATTTCTTGACCCTCTTTGCCACTGACCTTGTCGTAAGCAAACTTTAGACACTTCCTTCTAATGGAAATACCCGAAATTTGTCACTACCAATAACCGAACCCCTCCATCACCTCAATTTCAAGCACTCATATTTCTAGTCACTACTTTTTATCCTTCCAACTTTCTGTCTTTAATGTTCTTATTCCAAAGTCCTTTGGTCCCTCCAGAAAGTACAGTTCACTGGGCCTAGCCACTTTTCATTGTCTAGTGGCTTCATTTTAGCTCCTGGTCCACTTTCCTGGCTCTTGTCCTCATTCTCCTCTCTAGTCACTGAAAGCCCGAGGTGCACTCTTGCAATACCAGCTGCCCTCCAGAAGTCCCCAGGTGCTTTGAAATCTTATCTTGTAAAGACCCTGCTTGAACCTGTACAGCTGGACATGACTGATGACAAGGCCCACCACCATACAGAGGATCTCATTTCATGCGCACTAGTGCGGGTCCTGAGCAGACTGGCCAGCCAGCACCATGTAGACTCATTCCCCTACTTCCTACATTTTCCCTTTTTCTGCTGATCTTCACTAACAACTGATGACCTCACTTCTGGTCTCCACTGGTAAAATAATGACAATAGAAGAGAACCTCAACAAGATAGCTCACCACCAGTCTCCCAGCTCTCCTATTGAACTCAAAACCCATGCATAAACTCTATATTTTTTCATGCTGCTTTCTTCTGTCCTTGAGGAATTCACTCTTGATATTCATCTTTCCACCTTGGCTGTATTCTTTTTCAAAGGATTTGCCACTGGTGCGTAATGTGCCATCATTTCTTTGAAGGGCAAAGGTGACCTTGCTGACTGCCCTTACCTGCTCAGTACTCTGATGCTCCACTTCTCTTTATAGCAGTCATCAAAAGAGTAATCTCCACTTTTCTCTTTCCAGTACCCCGGAGCTCAATCCAATCATGTTTCAGCCCCCACTACTCCACTAAGACTGATCTGTTCAGAAGTCATCAGTGGTTTCCATGTTGCTAACTTAACAATTCTTGATTCTTGTACTAGTCACTTTCTCTGTCCTTGAGCCTCAATAACCAACAGCCACTACTTAAAGGAGGACAGGCTTATTTTGGGCCACAGATTCAGTCCATGCTCAGCAGGCAGAAACAGCATGATAGGTCAAGGGGGAGAGAAGCTGCTTATATCATGGTGATCAGGAAGCAAAGAGAGAAGGGACAAACTGGTATAGAAACTATATCCTTCTAGATCATTCCCCCAGGGATCAACCTCCAACCAAGCCCCTTCTCCTAATGTCACATTGAACTATATTGCCTCCATAATTCAATGATCTTCCCAAAGCCTTGTCTATGACTGCATGGGGCACTTGGGGTCATATAGATACAAACCATGGCAAGCTTCATCTTTCTTGATTTATGAGCAGAACTTGCTGCTGGTCACTCTGTCCTTCTCAAAATGTTTTCTTTACTTGGATTACAGGACTCTCTTTTTTCCAGATTCATCTGTTCTCACACTGACTGGTTAGTTTCAGTTTTGTGTCTCTTCCCAATTTATAGTGTTAGAAACCTTAGGTCTTGGACCATGTGCATTAGTTTCTATACTGTCTCTACTCACTCCCTTCAAGATTTCATCTCAGTGTATCGTGTCTTAAACAGCATCTACAAGTTAATGACAACCAAATTTGATCTCCTAGTCTAGAACTTGCTTCTAAACTGTATTTATTTGCCTTTTTAGTTGTTTGACAAGTTTTCTTGTGTGTCCAATACCTGAAAGTTATCACGTCTTAAACCAATCTCCCAGTCTCTTTCCATCTTTTTCCATGTCTCATTTAATAGAAACTCCATCCTTTCAGCTGCTCAGGCAAAAAAAAAATATCTTAGTCAGCATTCAGTTTTCTCCTTCTCCCCACTTTCCACATAGAACCCAATGGGAAAAAAATTTCAGGTTCTACCTACAGAGCTTTTGACCAGTTTTCACTGCTTCCTCAGCTATCGCTCTGCTGTAGACTCTCTTAGACCACAGGCATAGCTGTGATGACTCTGAACAGCCCAGATGCCCAGGCAGTCTTTTCTCACATCTGGAGGCCAGCTGGAAGTCTCATGTCTGCCCAGGTCTCATAACTCAGGATTTTGCTGTTTCTGATTCAATCTTATGCCATTAGAATTGCCATCTTTACTTAGTTCTCCTTACATATTTACCTTTCCTCAGAAGAATAACAGTATTTTAGAATCTAGTGATCAAATCAAGACGTCATACATGCTATGTAATTGCTCTACCACTGAGATACATTCCTAGGAATACAAATCTTTAGTTTTTAATGTATATCAACGTATGTATACGTATGTCTGTGTGCCTCACCTTGTCGCCCCAAGTATTTAAGGCAGGTAAGATAAATATATGAAATGTACAACAAAATAGGAAAATAAGTGAGGAAATCAGGTGAAAGGAGAATAAGGACAGGTAGAAAACACTCAAATTACTTGATGAACCTCTACAAGGCCCTAGCAGCACAGTGGCTTCTCGGCCTAGGGAGGGACAGGTTGGTTTCTCCCAGGGAAAGGCTTGGGACAGGAAGTGGGGTGATGACTGGGCCAGATCTGTGCCTCATTCACCCTCTGGTGTCCCCCCAGTCTCCCGCCTTCTCACCCACCCTGTATGATACCCCCAAGTACTTACCAAGACCCAAGCAAGAAACTCTGAGTCCTGACTTTCCAAGATTTCTAGAATAAAAACAAAGCAACACATGGTCATTTCTTCCTCAGATAAAACTACACACATTTAACCATTGACAGTGCATCTTTCTTGACAAGAATGGAGGTAGTGACAGCCATTTGTGGATTCTCTCATTCCTCATCATTTCACTATTGAGAAGCCCAAAATTTGCTCAACAACAAAATGGTCCATAGAGACCCAAATTATCCCTTATTAATCTGTTTACACATTCATGGCCTTTTTCTCTCCTAGCATATGAGTTCCTCCAGGGCAAGGAACTTTACTTTATCCACCATCCAACCATTCATAATTCACCACAAGGCCTGACACACAGTAGGAACTTAATTAAACTGACTTCTGAAGCAGATTATTTCCAACAGAAGAAAAATACAAAGCTACTTTATGATATGTTAATTATAGCGTATTTTTTTTTAAAAAAATACAAGGCAAGCTGAAATTGCCACAGGAGGATTAGGGAATCTTTTAAAAATAGTTTTTCACTAGGGATTTATCTCAGTGGCTCAGCACCTGCCTGATAAGTGTGAAGTTCTGAGTTTGATTCTCGATAACAAAAAAAAAAGGTTGTTTTCTTTCTTTCTCTCCATTTTTTGTCCCCAAAAGTTGATTAAGGAAAATAAATATACACTTGCTGTGTAAATAGAGCTAAGAATGCTAATATTGCTTGCCTAGGAGTCTGTGTGGAAATCTAGATTCAATCTATTTTTCTGCCTGCTGCACAAGAAACCAAATTCTTGGGGAGAAGATGCGCCATACAATTAGTGTAGAACTCCCTACTGAGAAGACAAAGCTGGAGTTATTGTAATCCTGGGAAAGGTACACCCCTCACTCTCCCGGCAGATACTCTTGTAAGAATGCAAGTCCCCACCCATGTCTACCTCAGACTTTTCAGTTAGCAGCTTTGTTCACTTCCCCGCATTCTCCTCCACTGGCATCAGCTTTGGCTCTTCAGAGTTAGGAACCAGTGCTCTCATGCTTGCATCATAGTTGTTTCTCCTGTTTATTGCTGTTATTTATAAAATGCCTCCTATGTAACACTTGTAGTTTCATAGCACAGCTAAGATTTTCACCACAGTGGACAGAGTTGAAAGACCCAGGGTGGGGGGACTTGGGTGATTTTGGGGAAAATGACTTTTTCTTTGCTGGAATTCAATTTTTTTAATGAATAAGATAGAAAGATGATGCAGGTGCCCTTCATCACCAGTGTGGGGACAGCTATGATAATGGGTCCTAACATGTTGCATAGTAATTCGAAGGAGTAGTGATGCGCTGCTCCCTAATGCTGATGACCTCTAACAAATAAGGTACTAAATTTACCATTCACTGGGTATTTTCAGATGGAAAAAAACTTCTATGAAGATACATTTGAAAAACGTCTTGAACTAGTAAATAGCAGAAAAAAGAACTGAACTGCTCTAATCAAAATAATGGTATTAAGAACTGTTTTTTGAGTCATGTCTCAGAAATCTACAGGTTAGGGGCTGGGGATTTAGCTCAGCGGCATAAGCGCCTGCCTTGCAAGCAGGCAGTTGTGAGTTTGATCCCTGGTACCGATAAAAAGGAAAAAGACAAAAAAAAAAAAAAAAGAAAGAAATCTACAAGATACACTGCCAGAAGGCTTTTCTTTGTCGTCTAACACCCCACTGATTTTAAACAAGGAATCTAGAGCAAAAGTTGTGTAGTAGAGAGGATAAAAATCTAAAATAAAATCTAACATAAAAAATACTAAACTGAAAAACACAATAAAAGTTTGAAAGTGAGTAACTTCTTATTCCAGGTAGAAACAGTCCACACTAATGAAAGTAAATGCACAAAGAGAGATCACCAGGTAGTACACATGATCGTGAGGATAAAGAGAGGGACAAGGTGTAAGTGTTTCTCCAGGAACCTGGAACCCAGGGGGACAGTTAGATGAGCATACCTTCACAGTGTAGTAGGTTTGTCCTACTGTGAGGATCTTTGGGAGCCCTGCAGGGGAGGTGAGGGTTACTTCAGCCTTGTATTTGTATAAGTTTGTGTTGTCATGGGGAAAAGATCTAAATGTAAGTGTCGTGTAATATTAGTATCTTTTGGTGATTCTAAGAACAGGGAGGATCAACTTGGTGTAGAAAACTATGCAGATCAAAATGATTCCAAGTCTAAGGCTTTAGAGTCCACAATTTTTTTCTAACAAACTCAAAAAAAAAGCAAGCTTATGTCACTGAGTTCTTGCTCAGCACCTGTGGTGGGGAGACTTGCCCTATTTGTGACGTAAGAAAATAATGATCACTTGGCTACAGCTTTAGAGGCCTGAACTGGAGAATTGTCAGCAAAAACAAACTGCAAAGTAGCAAATTACACGTGGCTTATTGCCTTCCCACTGTTGTTTAAACACACAGGGCAGCTTTTATGGAACACAGCTTGAAAAAGTTTAAAACGTAAAGAAACTTCAATTCCAGACAAATATTGATACAGTGGTGATAGAATCCATCCTGAGCTTTGGTGTTTTTATTGGCCTAACTTTTAAGTTCCTAGTATTCTGTAAATGTCTTCCTTCTCTAAAGAGAATGGTAATTTTAAAAGTGAGAGGTATTTCTGTGCACAAGAGATACCTGGGTCTTTCAGTAGGTTGGCCTTACTCTGTTCTGCTGTGAGTCTCTTTGTGAGGCGTGTGTACCCTGTGGAGAGCTCTTGATCCGTGATGGTGCCACTCTCTTTGCAGACGGAGGAGGTAAGAGGAACTACCTCTAGCTGAGGCCATGAAATCTCAACCTCATTTCTATTATTCCAGATAGCATGCCTGCATCTTCCTGATTCTATGTGTGTGCAATACTAAATACAGATATGGCAATTCTCCAGCTACCCTGATCCACTTAAGCTCTGCTGGATAATGACCAACTTTACCAGTCATGCTGGGCTATAACACATCTTCCAAAACCATCTCAGCCATATGTAATTTTCACAAAGGGATCCTCATTTTGTGTGGTATCATTCAGCACAAATAGCTTTGTATACTTTCATTTTAGTTCTTAATTCCTCATTGTTCACATGAGCAAGACCGGGCTACAGTTCCTAAGTACATAACATTTCCTATTGAATTGAGTTCCTCTCCCATTTGATACAAAATAGTTTCACTGAACAGGTTTACCTATTTTATCTGTGTCAGATATTGCAGAAGGAAGGATCAGCATGTTCATTTTTAGCATCTGCTCCTGTTCAACTCAGAAATAAAAGCTCCTCTTTCCCAGGTGAACCTGAAATGCTTTGCTGCTAATATTAGAGATGAATGACATCAGAATGGGGGCATGGGACACTTAGCTTTGTCAGTCAAATTTTGGAAATTCTAAATCTTAAAAAATTAGTAAAGAATTACCTGGAGAAAATATGTACACAGCTTCGGGAAAATCCAAAGCTTGTGCTTCTCCTTTCTTTTGGAAGGCAGACTATCCACTCAGTGAATATAGAGCTGAATTTATTTTAGGGCACTTGTCAGTTCTATGGCAGATGATACATTAAATGTAATTCTTAGCATCATTTTATAAAGCACCCATGAGATTCTTTCATTTTAAAGCAAGTTACAAGTGGAGAAATTAGGACTGAAATCAAGTGTCACTTCAGCAAAGTATCTTAGGCCGTTTCCTGCTCACAGGTCCTTTACAAACTAAGGAAACTAAAAGCAGAATATTAACAGCCAAACGCATTGTTTTAACTTGTTTGCTTCTGGATTTGTGTGTCCTAGATATTATTCCTCATTTTAAACCGCTAGGAAGGAGTAGTTAGCTAAACTGTGTGCCTTGCATAGGACCAGGAATAAGCACATTGCATGGGACAGAGTCCTTGACTTAAAGGCTGACATGGCAGGAGGAACTGAAACATATGTAACGGGTCCAGTGAGTGGGCAGGCTGGCAGAAACAACTGGGGCTGACCTGTTTTCACATGGTCAGGCTTTTACATCATTCGCCGTCTCACTCTATTGGAACATCATTCTGATCCCTCTGAAGTCCACACTCTGCTGTGTGTCATGCCTTACCAGCACGCTAACTAATCAAATCTCTTTTTTCCCCAATAAATGAGCATTTAACCTTTCTTGAAGAACATAGAACCAAATGCTATTTATTTGTCATTTGGCTGGCTTTGGCAGTTCCATTAGGTTGTGCATTTCAACCCCATGAAGGCGACTACAGTGATAAAAACATTTACCCGTGAGTGCACTGCTCGTAGCTGTCAGTAAGTGAGTGGTGACTCATTTGAAACCACAAGCCCCATAAAAGATGTAGCCATACACTTCAGTGGCAGACACTGACAAATAGGGCAGTGAAGTTTGTTTTATTCCGATCTTTAAAGAGCAACAAAGTAGAGTAAGACTCTTGATTGAAAGAGTTAAGTCATTGTCAGTTGTAAAATCTAACTAGGTTTTTACTTGTTTTCTTGGAGCATTCAAACTCACCCACTGATTTATCTCACTTAACACTATGGTCTCAAAGTGTATCCAGTTTCCTACAAATGATTCTAATTTATCCTTCTTTATGGCAGAGTAGTAATCCATTGTGTACAAATACCACATTTTCTATAACGCTTAAATATTGCTCTGTTTCTTTGATAGGAGAAACTCAAAGTATAAATAAATTAAACATAAAAATAAAAGATAATGAGAAACAGGGAGACAAATCTTTTTCAAAAAGAAAGGTAATCAAGAGATGGAGGGAAAAGGGGTGAAAAAAGAATTAAAGTGTGTTAAGTACGTGAAACAATTCCCCATGAGGACTGTAGTAATTATGTTCTGAAAACATGTACTAATAAAAATTAAAAAGCAAAACCAATTATTTTTATTTTGAAAAGAATAAAATCAAATGAGAAAAAATGGGGTCACTCAAAACAAAAGGATGGACATAATACATAATTTACAACCACAATATAAGGTGATCTACAATGGTTACCATGATATCTATTGTTATCTTTAATAGAATTGCCCATATCATTGGATATGATAAAATTGAATATAGCAGTACA